ATGAACGTGAGGGTACATTCATTGTACTCAATCTATTTCGCTAATGGTACCGTTGGGTTTCGAAAAGAAAAATGGGTATAACTCGAGTTCTGCTTAATCGATTTTGATTATTTTGTTTTGTTTTATTGGTTGAGAGATGACCATTCACTTCTGAAAAAATCAAGTTCCTAGATGCTTTAGTTTTTGAGAAATCATGACAACAATATCAAATACCTAGCTTTTTAACGCTATCTAGCGGAAGGAAAGCATTTTTTTCATTAGAGTGCGATTTTTTTCAACCGTTTTGCAGCTAGACTTGTAAAACTCGTCATGAGGTTTCAGAGTATGTCATTGGTTTTAGCTCTACAAAAAGTTTTATGAATGGAAAATTATCAACAATAGAAGTTAAGACACTTCTCCATTTTTATGTACAGCGAGACAAAAATCATTGGCTTGCCATTTCAAGAAACTTGATTGGAACAATTTTGATTGAATACGAACGAGTAGGGTGGAGGACAGAATTTGACAAATTAAAGAAGTTCGTTTCATATACTTTGTTAATACTAAATTTTTACAAAAAGTTCAAAAAAAGCTATATTAACACAATGTGTAGAGCGAGATTTTAAATTTTGTTATTGTTATAACTCAATGAAAACTAAGTCATTTACAACAAAAATTTGATCTTTTTTTTTATCTCATAGAGTACAGTAACATCCAAAATAATCAAGCAAAAATTTTTCTTCGTTCCAAAGAAAATTCAGTTTTACTAAGAAAGTGTAGAGCGAGATTTTTGTGATAAAAAGTGTAGATTGACATTAAAATCATCGGAATTTCATTTAAACAAATTTTATTTAAACAACCTTCATTGAATATCAAGAGAAGGACTAAGGGAAAACACTTTGACATGTAAAATAATTTTATTAGCAAAGTGTTTATGGGAGTAGTTTATACACTAAGTTTATTGAAAAAATGGATGTAGCATATAGAAATTGACTGTAATCTCGTGAATCTCCACCACAGTACAGGGAATTGTTGGGAAAATATTATTTTTACACATATTCGACATAGCTCTATTAAATACGACACTTAACTTTCCTTTATCATTAAATTTATTTTTTTCGATTTTATTCTCCAAATGGTACAATTGGCGTGCTCTTCACTCAGATACAGAATAAAGTGAAAACATACTGAATGTCAGAGAATTTGACGCTTCATCAGAATACATAATTACTTTTGTAAAAAGATTTATCTTCGTTGTACTTATAGTTTGAAAAAATAAACTACGTACAGAATTTTGAACATTGTCAATTTAGATGATTTCATTGTTCTTATATTATTAAATAAGTGCAATAAAATAAACAAATATACAGAAAGATAGAGAATTTCAAGTGCTATCAGAATCTACGATTGCTTTTTTAACAAAAGTAATTCTATGGTAATGAAAAATTTTAAAAACTTATTCTGATGATTATGACAGAATCAACTTACTGAGAGTCTGAACACTGATACCCAAGCAAGCAGACATGTTGATTTTTATACTAATTTTCAATAGAAAAGGAACAAACTTTCAGATTTTTGGACTATCTGAATTTAACACCAACTTTCGAATGAAATCGTAATTTTTTATGCACTTTTTTAGCTAAATTTCAAGGTTTTGAGCTATTTTTACGCTTTTTTTATTTTGTTGAAAATTATTTTGCAGAAAATTTGACTCAAAACCTGAAATTTAGCTGAAAACGGGAAATAGAAAATGGAGATTTCGTGTGAAAATTGGTGATAAATTTAGTTAGTTCAAAAATCTGAAAGTTTGTTCCTTTTGTACAGAAAATTTCTACGGAATTGGCATGCTTGTCTGCACGGGTAATGCCTCCATTGTACTCAATTTATTTTGCCAATAGCTAAATGAAAGCTATAAGGCACAAGTATATAGGATGATAGAAAACTTTACGGGCTTTCAGAATATGGTACTAATATTTTAAAAATGTATCTCTCTTATTGTACATATACTTATAATACTCATTGGTGTTTTTACTTTCCAAGAGTATATATTGCAATTTAGTCTTGTTCATCAAACATGTCATGCGTACAATTAAAGTACTGAAAACTGAGATGGATCAGCCAAAAGGATAATTCATTTATTAGATAATCCAAATAAATTGCAGCTCATGTCATTTAGACAAAAAAAAGATTAATTGTCATTTGTTGTCAAAGTTAATACACTTTACTGCTATGCTTCTTTTTATCTAAATCAAATTTGTATCATATTCTAGTTCTTATCTTACAGGTTTTGTTTATGAATATTTTTATACAGTTTCTTGTTTTTTGTTATTTTTGACGTTTGTTTGCATCATCATTAGTTTTTCATCACAAGAAACTATTTTGATCAATACATTGAAATCTTGTATTCCGTTTCTGCTACATACTGCTCTAATGGATAAAGTTAAATATGAAACTATATTTCTTTCGAATCGTCGTTGTTGGTGTGGGTGGGTGTGGGTGTGGGGTGTGGGTATTGCTTGACTCAGAAGCTGACATAAAGCAACATCCACACAGCCACAGCCACACCCAGAGTCACAGTCGCATCCACACTCACACCCACACCCTGTTCAACCAAATACGCTTTTAAGCAGTCACTTGACTAGCAATTTCACGATTATCTGGCTCTCAAAAACACTCAAATTCAGATATTTGGCTGAAACCATTGCTGAGGGTTTCTTCTAATAATTGTTAAATTCTAAGGGTGTCTCTGAGACCGAAGTACATATTTGAATGGAAGAATACTTTCGAAGAGTCTTCCTAGATATGTCTGATTTCTGATATGTTTCGATAGAGATCATATCTGACTCCGATATGATTTGGTATGCATACAATTAAATGCTTGTCGCTGTTAGCATCAGAATACGGTATAGTCACAGGATTCCTTTGGTAATCCAACGTGTTCAGAAATGGCAGCTTCTGCCAGAAGAGATTGAGAGGAAAACAGTTTCTCTTCAAAAAATACCTGCAGTGTTTGTGAACTGCAGGTTGTCAATTTGATTTGCTTTATCATAATTTTCTTCAGAGGAATTCGTATACTCCTGTAATATTACTCTCATTACATTAATATTGACGAATAAATAGAGTGCCTTTCCATGATATGATAAACGATGACTATTTTACTTACTATTAGAAATCAATTAAATTGGCGTAAAATCATTTCTGATTGTCAAAGCCATTTGTTTCTCCTTGTAGATTGTCTAACGTGTCGCATTGACCAATCATCTAGCGTCATTGTTTATTCAAAATAAAGATGTTTGTTGATGCAACTTCGATAGGACAAAACTACAGAACTGGCGTAAGAACGCCGTATGCAGAAAGAAACATGGAAAAGACTGTACACTTAAGAACGCAAGCATTGAATGATTGATGCGCGGAATGAGTATATACCATTTCTGAATTGTTTCATTTTTTATTTTATTACACCTCGAATAATGAAATGAATAGTTTGCTTTCATTCATTGCTGCCTGTCGAAAGAACTCTTTAATTCAAGTCTATACTTATAGCGCCGATTTTCTTGTAGTGAGTTCCATAAACATAGTCTTATTAAATGAAAAAAGGAATGTTTTTTCATGAAACGTACGTTTACAATAAACTCTGTTCAGTTCTAACTAGTTATTTCAAATTGAACGTTTTTCAAGTTTGACAAATATAGCATTTGGTTGAATAGCAATTCGTTCTTCTAGTTTAAAACCTTCTTCGATCTTATCACCTGGTAATATTCGATATTGATCAAGTAAATGAATTAAACATAGTTTTAATTCCATAAGAGCAAATCGCATACCAACACAATTTCGTGGACCAACACCAAATGGCATCCAAGCAACTGGATGACGTTTTACTAAATGTCGCTCAGGATAAAAAGTATTCGGATCTTCAGAACCCCATAAATCTGGATTATAATGAATAGTAAATAGATCAGGCTGAATAATACTACCTATAACCAGAGGTCAATCGAAATATAATCACAAAAGTTTATTAATTCTATATTGAACAAACCTTTTTCTATGATATGACTACCAATAGTAGTTGTTGTATTACACTCACGTGTCATTGCTTTAGATGTTACAGGATACACACGAAGAACTTCACGTACAAATAAATATAATTAAGAAAGATTAGTTGCTATATCATAGACTTCTTCATTTTTATTGTCATGCCATTTGCTATTTTGTATTTCTTCAACAAGTTTTTCTTGAATATCTTGTTTTGTTGCTAAAATATATGTTGAATAAGCAAGTGTTGTTGATGTTGTTTCATAGCCAGCAGCCATAAAGAAAAAAACATTCGGTATAAGTTCATTTGGTTGTAAGACTTTTGTCATTGATTGATTATCAATATGATCCTAGAATGATGGATCAAAAATTAGTATAACAATAATGTTCTAATAGACTGTATTCTAAACAATCATTTTTTTCTTTGTGAGACACGGTATTAAGGACTGCCTGAAAAAAAGTCAACTTTCGTGAGAACGGTCAAAATCAAAAAAATACGTAGAAAAATAGCTTGTCGTCCACTCTATCAAAATCAACAAAAGTTTTCCTTAAAACCTCCATTTTTTCTCGAAATATTTCAGAATTTCAGAGACTCGGTTTTTTGAAAAGCAGCGGTTTTTTTAATATCCAAAAATCTTTCTCGTTTTTCTCTTTTTTTCACTTTCTTGCACACGAATACCAAATTTCTGTTTCATGATTCATCCAATATATTAATTTTTTTTCGTTTGAAAGAGCGTGTCAAGACGCAGAACACTACATTTCCCTCTTTTTTAAAAATATTTCTTAGTCCATATAAAGTCAGTAGTATAATTTCATTATCATTTTTTAATAAAGTTTTTAGTCATTGAACTTGTAACTTTTTTCTTATTAAAAAGGAGGTGTTGCAAGAAAAAGAGCGGCGTAGTACCTTGCATCTCGATATGCTCTGTCAAACGAAAAAAAATATTAATAGATTGGATGGACCGTTAGAGAGTAATTTGGGTTGCCAAATTACCTATTTTTCGACCTTGTTTGATGAATATCTCCCTTAAATGGAATAGTTTTGAGCCGAAAATTTTATCATAGACTCCTCTTAATGCTCCTAGTGTATCTTCAAAATTTAAGCTCATTCTAACGTCCGTGGGTCAAGATCGATTTTTTAAGGCGGCCTTAAAGAAAAAATTATTAGCTTAATTAAAATCCAAAATTATGTATCTTTTAATTCACACAACTTACTGTAATGTTATTATGAGTAGCGTCCATCATAAGTTGTAATAAATCTGTACGTTTTATTGAAGTTGATGATGATTGAATACGAAGATCAACAACTTCTTGAACACGATTGATTAACCACAAAGCTGAAACTTCCTGGACATAATCATTTAATACTGGTAGTAATTTCACTAATGTTGGACGAAAGTTTTCTAGACTAAACACAATATCATGTAAAGGTCGTCCAAGAAATGGTACTAAGTTAGCTAGTCGAAGAAATGAATAGGTCCTCGAAATCGTTTTTAAACAATTCAGCTAATTTTTTTAAATATATATTATTAGTATCATTTTGCATATCAGTATCAATACCAAATGCACAGCGACCTAAAATAATGGATTATTTATTGTGCATTTGTAAATAAAACCGATTAACTTACATATAACATCCATTATTAATCGTTTGTATAATTCATAAATGTTAATTTCTTTTTGTTTATCATCTGTTATTTGAGATATTTTATTTAACATTGCAGCAATACATTCATTTACTAAAGGAGACATAGATTTAAGTTTTGATGATGAAAATGTTGGATTAATAACATGTCTTTGACGACGCCATGTTTCTCCAGTTGTTCGAAAAAGATGAATTTTTCCATCAGTTTCAGTACGAAAAATTGTTGAAAGCATGCGTGAATGAAACGATGAAAATTGTTTAATATAAACTTCTTGAAGAAAATCAACATCTGATACAACATACATTGGTCTTCTGCCGAGAAATAATCCATAAATCGAACCATATTGACGAGTCCATTCTTGTATTTGTTTCGAAAATGCTTTAGTTGACCATAATGTCTTGTAATGACCGAAAAAGAAATGATATGGAGGTCCCGAAATACCACGATATTTGAAATAATTATAACGATTTTTGATTGTCCATAAATAGACATAAATGAGAGAAAGAAGAATTGAGATGAGAGCAATGGTAAGAAACATATTCTAAAAGCAAAACATTGAAGTATGAGTACTTTTTTCGTTCGTGATGTAGGTGATGCTGATCTTGTTTTATCAGGTGTCTTTTATATAGAAAAAAAGCGACGTTCTTCGTCGTATTTCTTGTTCGTTGTGTTTCGACGCTTGCATACTATATTGACTTTAGAAGCACAAAAACGTGTGACAGAACGAAAAATAGAACTATGGTAATGATGTTTATTGTATAAAAAATGAAGGGTAAGCCATCCTATTACCATTTTTACATTACTGCATAAACAAGATAGATTTTTAGCTTTTTTCTGTAGGAGAGAAATACTGTCACACAAATAGCTAATACAATCAATTTGCAACATGATAGATTTAAGTGATTTATTGGACAGATTTTTTTCAAGTTGGGTGTGGGTGTGAGTGNATAGTCTTGATGAATAATTTCATGATGTAATGTATTTGTTTTTTTTTACCGTTTCCTATGAAAAATTTGTCTTATACTTGTGCTCATACTTTTTTATGTTTGTCGTTTTTCTCTATCATTTCTGAAAGTGATTGCGTTATTACCAGTTGAGAAATCGTTTCATGTATATATATATCCGCTGATTGTTTTTGTTTTTAATTTGTTAACTCAGCCATGAACCACTCATTTTTTGTGAAATCATATGACATTACATAGTCACATCTTATGCATCTTTTATACGAAATTTGTATGAAATCAATAAAAAGTCGCCGAAAAACCTATTTTCTAAAACATTATGATTGGAATAAAGCACCTGAACGCGATAGTACGCGCACTCAATTGAAACCGGCGAAAAACCGCGGTTAACCGGCGGTAACCGGAAAAAACCGCCGGTTAACCGGCGGTATTCCGCACAGTTATACGATCGGTATACCGCCGGTTAACCGGCGGTTTTTTAGCGGTTCTATGCACATGGGTAATGTATCATTGTCGTTTTAGTTGTTCTCTTAGTTTATTTTCATAAAGATCAGATAATAAAAGGTTGTTGCATGAAATAATTAGCAAAATAAATTGGTAAATAGTGATCATAAAAAATTTTCATACTGGAAAGACTGCAATTAGTGCAACGTCTTCGATCATATCTGTTCTATTTCGTATGATTGAAAAGCTGTATTCATAATAATTTCAGCAACATATGATGAGGCATGCAACAAAAATATAAGGGATAAATGATACATGTAATAACAGACAAGAACTTTACATTTGATACCCAGTTATTGCAATAATATAATCACAAAATCTAATAGCCAATTCTTTTGAGTATGAATAAGTTCTTCTATGAGTGAATGCAAGTTTTACAGCACGAAATTGACATTCAGTTCAAGCAGACCTTGCTGGAACCGAATGAATTTGCGTAAGTTCTCTTGAATCATAAGAAAATTGATAAACGTTTGATATCTAAAACTCATGAGACGAGTGTGCTTGTTTCGCTCAAAGGATATTGATCAGCCATAGTGTACGGCGTGATTGATATTTTTGGTCACGATCACGAGGAACAGTCACTGGTCAATGGTAATCACGCATGATTGTTAGCGTGAATTTGGTGATCACGCAGTTCTTGGTTGGCAACTTTCCTCGATGCATAAATGTATTCGAGTATGTGAGAAAAATGTAGACAGATATCATGAAAAAGTATTTTTCAGGTCTACGATGATCTACTAACGAAATTATTTTGAAGAATATCGTAGATGTGGTTGCAATATATGTTTCTCACGAATGACATTACGCGAACCAAACCACCGAACGGCCTGAAAGAGATAGTTAGAGTAAGAGTTACGTTTCAAGAGTTTTTCGCTTTACAGAAATCACAGCAGTTACCACGTTTGTTTTTGCACTTTAGTGGATTTATTCAAAATCTCAAGTATATCCATTGACATCTGAAACAAAGATTTCTTTGTCTTAAGCGATATACTCACCATCATCGTTGCCCTCAACTAGATATCTGCCATCATTCTAATTTTTTCTCCACTTTTTGATGAAGTTATATAGAGAAATTTATAAAACCATTGGAAAAAATTCAGAATAAAAACAAATCCTGGAAACATGATGAACGGGTAATTTTCCTGAATAATACGATTTCAATATACCATCGGAATTATAGAACTAAATTTATATAGCTATTACGAGAATACTCATGTGATCGCTGTAAAAAGACAAAAAAAAACAGACTTTACCGTAGTATTTATAGTAAAATAATAACCAGTAGTCAACCTTAACGAGCTGTCTCCTTCTCTACATTTCAATGCAACATTTTATGATATAGTTTTATTCATCATTTAGTTTAGTTTATCTTTGGCTTTTGGTTCTCTTGCAATATTAGTCTAAATCGAATCTATAACCTCAAAGCCTGGTTGTTTTTGCTCTAAGTTCACCTATTTTTGCAACGTGCTTTTGAACCGGAGCATTCGAAACGTATTTTCTTTCTAAATGACACTTAAAGAAAAAGGTATTAATATACTTTATATGAAGAGTAAGGAAATTTTATTAAGAATAGAACAATCCAAGTCTATAATGAGCTATTTGACATACGAAGGCGTCCTATTGGTTTCCAAGCAGTACGTTGATCATTATGAATTCTACAATAGAACTCATCTTCAATATGTGCCCGATGTTGTACACACAAGTCATTCTCATTTAATGGTATTTTATACAATGGTTCATAAAAATTTTTAGCCAGGATATACGCGATTTCATGTCCACCCAGTTGTGATTGAATAAAGGAATAAAACTGTTTTCGACGTTCATAATCTGGATGATCAACTGGTGGTAGTCCACTATATTCTAAGATTTTTCCATTGATACTCACCCATAATGGTAGTACAGGATCGTTTCCATCATGCCGTGAAAGTTCTTCTATAGAATAAAATACACCCTCAGGAACATCTCTAATTGACTGAAATGTATGAGGTTGTTTTCGAGGAATCACTGCTTGTTCATATTTTAATCGATTTATATATTCCGGTTGAACTTTATAATATTCGCATCCTTTTATTATAATGTCTAAATAACGTTCACTTGGAAGAATGCTTGATTGATTATCTATATTCATTTTATAAACATAAACAAGATGAGGTTGTTCTTGATAATTTATTGAATTAACAACAATTCGATGATACGTGGACTCTAATAAATCTAAACGACTCATTTGTTCATCAGAAAGAAGATGAACAACCCCATGAAACTCAGCTTCAGCACAAGTCTCAATATCAGCCATTCCGCGTGGTGCTCGAAAACCAATTTTATGATTCGGACATTTGGCTGGATAAGAAATTAAGGGTACCAAATCACGAAGAAAAAGTGAAATAGGATTTATCATACTACCAATAGCAAAATACCATAGAAATTTTCGTCCATCAAGTAAAACAATTTCTGCTTTGTCATGAGTGTCATGTTTGAGAATCCAATCAATTGTTGCTTGATCAGGACGAGTCCATTCTGCAAGAACACTTTCACAAGATAACGTAAAATTGGTATCACTTCGAGATGAATCCAAACGAAAAGTCGACTCCGTCATTGCAAAATAAAAGTGAAAAAAAAAAGAAATATTTTCTTTCTGATCAACACTGCCTTATCATCCACGTTATACTACAGATAAGAAAAAGAAAATAACAACACGCCATTTCAAAAAAGACAAAAACGTCAGGTCATTGCAACTCATCAGACACGTGTAACAATAATTACTTGGTGTACAAATATATTATTTCAAAATTTGCTAGATTTGTATACAAGAAATAAATAGTTACGAATTTATTAGTTGAAATAAAGAGCAAGGAAGATAACGTTTTATTCGATTATTTTAAGAATTTTACCAATTGCAACTGTTCGACCTTCATTACGTAATGTAAATCGACCAAACTGAGGAAAACATTTAAATAGTTCCATACAGATTGTTTGACTCGATTGAGATAATTCAAATCTTGCTACAGCCACTTGATCTTGTTTAATGAAACGTGGATGTTTTTGAATTTTTTCACCTGTATGACGATCGATTAATACTATTAACTTTTTTAATTCCACTTCAACAGTTGCTGCATGAATATGAAGAACAAAAGAATAACTAGCACACATAATTGATTTTAGCTCTATTGTCATTATCTATCAAGTGAAGAAAAATTAGTTAAATTAATTAGTTATCGGATTGCTTTACTTGTGCATCAAATACTCGTCCAACACCATAAGGTTCTTGTTCAGTATCACATAGAACAAATCCAGTCGAAATTTCCTATCCAATAAAAATAAATATCGTTCAAAAATAAAAAACAAACAAACTTCTTCTTCAACATTCTTCAGTTTTAATCGAACATTTTCTCCACAAACACATGAAGCAGTTTCAATATCTTCATAATAAATACTTGTTACTTCAACACGAGTTCGATGAGGCATAATTAAACATCGATCACCAATACGACAATATCCAGATTTAATTTTTCCCATGACAATTACACCCGTTTCCTATACAAAATGATTTGATTTTCTTTTCCAAAATTCCAAATAATCTAAATACAAACTTTATATCTTTCAACAATTGGCATTCGAAGAGGACTATCAATATTTCGATTAAATGATGGTAAACTATCCAAATGTTCAATAAACGTTGGTCCTCTAAATAATAAATTAATGCTTTTTCTCTTTTTAATTTTAATCTTTCAGTTGAATACTCATTTATACCAAGGTAACATTTTTTCACCTGGATGTTCTTGAAGTAAAACTTCACTCATTCCACTACATGGTATAAAAAAAGTATCTTCATCAGGTTTAAAACCACATTTTTTTAAATAAGGTGTAAGTTTATCTTTAATTGCATCATATCTTCTTTGATCCCAATTAGCAATTGGATCATCCATTTTATTAATAAGAACAACTAAATAACGAACACTAGCTGTTTTCGCTAACATAGCATGTTCACGTGTTTGACCACTACGTTCAAAACCTGTTTCAAATTCACCTTTACGAGCTGAAATCACCTAAAGAAAAAAGCTGTTAGCGCAATCCCTTCGGGATTAAAATGTGAAACACGACAAAACTGTTACTTCTTATCACATAAAGTATTGTTCTATCGCTTTCTGGATTCTTTCTTTCATTATACTTTAATGCATCAGCTACAAATGCAAAACCGAAACAGCTCAAAGGTTTTATCGAGATTGTAGCCCTATCCGGTCCTTGCTTGTACGCCGATACGATTCATGTCGGTCTACAACGACGTCCAGAGTTGCCTATATAGCTGTATCATAGTCATAGCTCCACCTTTATATCCTCCCTGCATTTCTAATACCGTTTGTGATGGATCCAAACCTTGTCTCTCAGGGTCTCGGAAGGGTAATTAATTAATTAGGCTGTAGTTAGTTAGTTAATTAATTAAATTATCTTCAAAAGCAATGCGAATCCCTATTCTTAATACTTTAACTCGTCTTCATCGGTCTGCAATGGTGGATGACTGTGGAATCACCTGTCTGTAACGGTCTGTGATGCTGGAATCACCTGTCTGTAACTGTCTGTGAT